AGTAAAATAAACTAACAGACTTACTATATATTTATAATCACTAAAATGCATGTATTTACATACAATACTTGATAGAACAGTGTTCAATATATCGTTTTCAATTAAGCAAATCATTCCCCCTATCAGTTTTTCATTTGATACACCGTTTTTGGATGAAATTGAAAAATCCTCAGAAATTAGAAAACTCCGCAAATTGGAAATGGTCTCGGGACATTTCATTTCTAATTTGCGGGGGCGTACTGTAGTTCATTTGCTCATTTATTCCCAAGATGTCGATCGCTTTAATCAAAGCAAAAAATGAACAGAATTGAATTTTCTTTATAAAATTGATATTCGAATGTTTTGAATTGTGTAGAAATTGAGAACCAATTTGAAATTTGACCCAAACTACCTTTTGTTTGATTTTATCAATAAACGTAATTCTCATTTCAACTCAATTGTTTTTTAACATAATAACATAGTTTTTATTAAAGAAGAGGTATATTTCGATGAACTTAGATGACGAACGGAATTCTGATTTTATTATTTTATTATTTTACCTCGAATTTCCCTCATTCAAATCAATAAATTCCAAGAACTTTTGAAATCGATTTATTTGGTTTTTTTTTTATCAACATTAACCACTTTTTTTATAATTTGATGAAATCGATCAATTGATTGATGTATCTTTAATCAGAATTCTATTATTGAGACGTAAAAGAACGCAAGTTTGTCCAACTTCGTAGCAATAAAGAGAAGTATGTTTGATGACAACTAAAAATGGTTAAAAGAATGTATGTTCGTTTTTAGCGGGTCCTCGCGGTTTTTCATGGTTTCCGCAGAACTGATAAGAGATAACAACTTAGTGTCTTCGGCAAAGTTGTATTACTCGAGGTCTTCTATAACATCGCTGAAGACAGTTATCTGTTATCAGTTCCGCGAAAAGCGCGAAGAATGATATGAAAAAAAAGTTCTATATAAAATTTGCTTTTTCATGTGCGCGAATTGCGCGCAACTGATAAGAGTTACCTGTCTTCAGCAATGTTATAGAAGACCTCGAGAACTACAACTTTGCCGAGATACCATGCTGTTATCTCTTATCAGTTGCGCGAGAACTGTGAAGACCGCGGAGGCTAGACGGCACTACAACATACTTTCTTTTAACGCAGATAGAAAACATACTTTTCTTTTCAAAAATATAAATCGAGAAAAAAACATAAATTCTTTTACGTCTCACGAATAAGTCCTTATGTTAGCTTTGATTTTTGTTAATTTAAATTTTTGATCATTTCAATGTATGAGTAAACAAGAAATCACATAAGCGGATTTCATTTACATAAGAAAAATGTAGTCATGGTCATACATATATTCAAACGATAACGAATAAATCTTAAATTCTAATTGGTTTCGGTTGTAACTCATTAATTTTAAGGCCAAAAAACTTCCTACTCAAACTGTTCATCATTCGAATAGATTTGTTTTTGCCACATTTTCTTCTTGTTGACGTACTGCAGACAAGCTTTCAGTTGATGTTTCTTCTTTCGTCCATCGCAAATTCGTCTTTCGCAAAAGTCACACGAGAACTTTTGTTTGATTGTTCCATATTTGAAGCGATTGTTGGCGAATGGGATGTGACTATGATTTATGGTGTGATGTTCCTTGAAGCTGTGTTTCATACACCATGCATCGCATAAACCACATTTATATACTTTCCCAATTTTGGCAGCATTGATTCGAGGATGGCTCAAATTCATGTGGTTTTCGAGATGTTCTTCCTTCAATCGCTTGTGACACAATTTGCATCGCTTCTTAGTGACCATCAATTCAAAAGTAACATTACTCGGTGACATTTCTTTGGGGCATTTCAAACGGTGTCGCTCTAGGTATTTTTCCAGTAAGCTCGTAGCATTGCAGGCATTGCACTTGAACATTTTGACTGGATCCTTACGGACAACTGGCATGTGCTCAATATTTTTGCTGATCAACTGTCCATTTTGACCGACGCACGTGTATTCGACCAAAGGGTGACTTTGATGCATATGCTCGGCAAATTTATTCGGCCAAAACCAGCTTTCACACAGACACTGAACCTTTTCACGTGTAACGCTCATATGGTAATCGATTTCAACGACAGCCTTGTGATATTGACGAGAATGATTTATGAGTTGGTCCTTCAATAAACCACTCGCACTGCAATAGCCACATTTGTACAACTCCACGATGGTTGTCTGAAAGCGATGAACCAGCTGTGGCCTGGGTGCTGAACGAGTTCGAACAGAGGTGGGTGTGTCCATACCCGTGTCCATAGCACTTCTGTTATAAACACAATCACGTCGAACATGTGAATGGAATCGTATTTTGTGTGCCTTTAGTTGACCTTCTTTCATATGTTTGTCGCAAACATTACATTTGTCTCGATGGGTGTTGCCAATCAAGTGGAAGATATTGGTGTCGGTCGGAATTTTGTCATGTTTCTTCGAATGGTGTTCGATTAAATTCTGCTCCATAATATCACCTGCTCCACAAACCAGGCATTTGTACAGTTTTAAGATGACTGTGTTCGAGCTTTCATGGACTAGGAATAGTTCATTAGTTTCAGAATCGCATGATACTTTTTCATCTTTCAAAACATCTGGATGAACCCGACGCATGTGGCCTTCGAGGCGACCTCCTTTCATTTCTGCACAGCAAATTTCGCATTTTACCCCTTTGCCTTTGGTACTCAGCACAAAATCTTGATCGGTTGCTGGAATATCTGAATGTAGTTTTGCACGATGCTTAGCCATATTTTGCTCATTGACACCGTCAGCCCCGCAAATGACGCATTTGTACAACTTTGGTGGAGGTGTGTGCTCAATATTCATGATCTAAATGTAGAAGAGAAGTATTTTGGCGTGAATCTTTGAGTTGAAAAATGTTCTTTTGCCATTTTTGGTGATATCAACAAAATCAATCGTATTGATTTGTTGAACTATGTAAATAGATTCACTATTTTAACGCCTTTTAAATTGCTTACTTTTTGCACAGACGCCTTCTGCTTGCCCGGAATGACCTTCATCACCTCATTTATAGACATCACCTGTGTGGAACAAAAACAAGAACAAAACCTTCAATATTGACAAGTCATACAGAACGAATTTGATTTAGTAAATTTGAGGTTAGGTTGTTTACCTTTGTTTTATCCGAATTGGCATTGTCACTGTCTGATGAGTCTTGTTCATCGATACCAGTGGCTCCCATCGACGACTTAGTTCGTGTGGAGATCAATATCTGTGAATGAACTTGTTTTGAATGTTCAATGAATTGTTCTTCATCGACGCGTTGACCACAAACTGAACAATGCCCGTACACGATCGTCTCGATCAATTCGAATGTATTTTGGGGTATTGTACAAAGTACACCGTGGTTCTTGAAAGGGTGTTCCATGAACTGATCTTCGGTAATTCCACTGCGATGACAGACCATGCATCGATAATATTTGATAGTCTCCTTGTGTACCAAAGCCAGATTATGCAAGTACTTTTGTGAGGGCTGTTTTTGAAATGGTCTCTTTTTCGATAGTTTCTCTTTCCATAGCTTCTTCTCGAGTAGCTTCTCTTTCAATTGCTTTTCTCTCAATAGCTTCTCTTCCAATTGTTTCTTTTCCAACCGTTGTTTTTCCAATGCTTGTTTCTTCAAGAGCTCTTCTGCACAAGTTTCACAAACATTTTGATCCAATGGCCCCGCCTGATTCGATGGATTGGCAGCATTATTGTTGTATCGTCTAAGGCTTCTAGCACCACAGGTCTGGCAATCGAATGGATTCAACACAGTCCATTCAGACTGTTCGCTGGTGCTCTCTTTAACCAACTCATTTTGGTCGATGCATGAACTTGTTTGTTGTTTGTACTCTTGGAAATTTTTAGCATCAAAGAGCATATTCCTATGCTTACTAAAATGATGGCCTTCCAAGCCATCTTCTCGAATTTTGTTTTTGCGGCATAGTTTGCATTCAAACATTTTTGGTTCAACTGTTGGAAGATTTTTGTTCATTGTGGCAGCTAAATCAAAACAGAATCCATTGTTATGGGTTAATGGACAATTCAAATTGATCCAATTAATTGCTCAGAAATCAATTACCTCTTTGACCCGCAATTGGTCCGGCGTTGTGGTGTAATGTTGTCGCTAGCATGCGATTCGATGTGGCGTTTTGGTGTACGTTAGTCGTAGACATCGAACATTGCTCAAAGCTCACAGCTGCATGTGTGGGTTTATCTTTTATTGCGACAAGTTTGAAAATATTTTGGTCGATTGGAATGTCCTTGTGCCGTTTCAAATGATGGTTCTTGATGTCATTTTCTGTGATATGCCTAGCATTGCACACGACACAGCCGAAAATTTTTATTTGAGTTGAGGTGAATTCAACGAGTTTGAAGATATTTTGATCGTGTGGTATGTCGGCATGCCATTTTTCATGGTGATTTTTAGTATCTTTTTCAACGATACTTCGAAGATTGCAGACGATACAATCGTATAAATTGATTCGAACCTCACTCGGTGTTTGCTTGAGGATCGTTTGCCGGTTATCAATTGAGTCTTTGTCAGCGACAGCACCCATCGTACTATGCTTGCGCATACAATTATTTTCACACCGAAGAAAACCATCAAAACACTCGTTTTGAATTATCAAACAATTGGTTCTCGTTTATCCTTCAATGAATACGCTTCTCTCGTTTATCGGCCGTCAATAAATTTATGGCCTTTTGTTCGAGCAACACCGTCTTTGTAATAAAATGGATTTGGATTTATTTTGATCGAATTTTTTTGCTCTGTACTGAACAACAAATAATTGTGGTTTCTCCGATCTGATGTGAAACTTCATTGATACACTTTATTTTGGCGGTCGAAATGTCAACAAAATATGCGCTTCACACAAGCGTTCTCACTGAATACAAACAAAACCAACATTGTTGTTGTTGTTGCCGAAGCAACAGGTTTTTACATCTGTATTTTGTGACGTTTGGCGCTGTTGTAGAGGGTTTCTGCTTGGAATGAACATAAATAGCGCACAGTTTGAATTTTTTTTTCAATATTATTTTCATTGAATGGACAATGGACATTTTTATTGAAATGTATAGACTTAAGCTCAGAAGATCAATACAATAAAAGAAATTGATTGATATGGATGGCAATTGCTAAAAAAAAAAATCAAACAACAGAAATCAGAGTTTTAAATTGACTTCCCTTTCATTTTTAAATCCCACGGAGAACAGCTGCTTTAGATAATAAATGTCAAGTTTTATTGCTCGTGTTTACTTTGCAAACAAATAAACTTGTAATTAAGCGATTAACTCTAAAGTAAACTCGGTTTATCGCAATCGTGAGTCACGATTCCGGGTTTTGTTGATTAAATTCGTGAAAAAATTATCGTGTTTATTTAAGAAAAGAAATTTATCACATTACCTCAGAAATTTTACTCAATTTTATTTCATGTGAAACTAAACAAGTTCTTATCTTTAGTTTGCACATCGCAATTTGTTTGCTCACCTGTTCCCAAGATGTCAATCATTTTTACCAAAGTAGAAAATAAACATGATCGCAAGCCGGGTTTTATCCACGGTGCTGCCGGTATCGTTCGAGCCAAAAAAGATCCAAAGACCACAAGTCAGTTGGCTCTTCCAAGTGATTATAAATATTTGTCGTGTTTGTTGCCACGAAGGAGTGTCGATTGGTTCGAACGTTTACAAAGTTTCAAAGTTCGTCCCGAAGACGTTTGAATCATTGGATTTATCGAAACTGGTAGGAAAATTTCTATAAAATTTTGAAATCATCAAACGAAAAATAAAAATTTACGACAGATTTTGTTCATGAGGTGAAGAGTGAAGGCAAAGAATTTACAAGAAAAAATGACGAATTTTGTGAATGAATGTTCTGGCGCAAATCAATTTTCTAAATTAAAGGTATGGACAAAGGTGTTGTTGCATTAGATGCGTTACCGTCTCCGCGTATGATAAAGTCACACTTGCCGGCCTATTTGCTTCCAAATGAGATATGGACGGTTCAAGCGAAAATCATTTGCATGAGTCGAGATCTCAAGGACGTAGCAATTTAAATGTTACACATGGCACAAAATCATATAAACCCGTTCCTCGGCGACGCACATGAATTCTTCTATGGATTTTATAACGATTATGTTGTTTTTGGTCCATTTTACGCACACAATCAAAGCTATTTTCAACTCCGTAATTTGGATCATCTTTTGTTTATAAGTTATGAAGAAATGTCGGCTGATACGCTGACCGTCGTGAAACGGGTGACTGAGTTTCTAGGGTGTTCGTACGGCGATGTAGATTTACAGTGATTGATTCAATACGCTATATTCGAAAAAATGCGAGAAAAAATCGATTTGGATCAAACGAAGCTATAGGTTACAAATAAGTATACGCACGATGTCTATAGGCTTGTTTTGTATAAGGTAAGGTTGATTGGTTGGGTTATCTTAACGTCAATCGATTCCATAGGTTCTGTCGCAAAGGGACTGTTGGCAGCTATCGAGATGAAATGAGTGAAGAGGACATAACCAATTTCAATGAATGGACGATAAGAAAAAAGAAAGACTGGATGATGGTTTAAAGTAAATTATGGTTATGAAATGGAATGGAATCGATACAAATGTCTATGAATAAAATTAACCAATCGAGTATGGAAATTATAACAGTAAACTTTCTTTTCTAAGTAAATTTAGATTATGTTTTATTCTTTTTATTACGAAAATTGATAAAGATTATAATTCTAGGAGTAACAATTGAAAATGCACATATATAAAAAAAAACACTTAATTAAAAACGGATTATTGCCATTCTATTCAACTCGCCTTAACATTGCACATCGTCCCTGAGCTTGAATGCCATTTGAAATCCATTGACCGACCGAGAGACGAGTCCATTTTGAATAATTGGATCTTCACCCATTTCGACCAATTCATACTGTTGCAACACACGTGCGAGGACCGTTTTCATGCTGAACATGGCAAATTTCTTGCCAATACAGTCTCTTTTCCCCGCACTGAATGGAGCATAGGTGAAGTGGTTAAAGTTCGTCGAAGCAAATCTCTCCGGGCAAAAAGCATCCGGATTAGTGAAATATTTCGGGTTTCGCATCATCATGCCAAGGTATAATCGAACGTCTACGCCAGCGGGAATTATACGGCCGTCATCTGAAAATGTAAACGAATCGTAGAGATTAAAGGTCAAGATCAATTACAAGATAAAAAAAAGTACCAATAAAAGTAAAAACCGAAACTTAAAACGGTTTCATTCATCAAGATAAAATTGCATACCTAATTTCAAGTCACGATCTATATTTCTTCCAATTATTGTTACTGCTGGATATAAACGCAACGTTTCTTTCAGGACCAATTCCATGTATTTCAGTTCAAGTAGTTGCTCATAAGTTATCGGGCTGTTTTTTTCACCGCCAAAAACATCTTTTATTTCACCGTAGACTTGGTCTTGGACATGCTTGTGTCGCGATAATAAGAACAGCGCTATCGAAATCGTGAATGCAGTCGTATCTTGACCCTTCAATAAAAATGACACATTCCATGAGTTTTCGATAATCATCTCGGAAAATAATATTTGAACACCTACCCCAATCATTAAGGTGTGCATCTGATCCAAAATGTCTTCATTTGAAAGTGGCTCACCGTCGATAGCCGACTGTAAAAGTGTATCAACAAAACACATCGCCTTCGCCTTTCCGCCATCCTCTTGATCCACGCTATCACTATTATTGGCCGTGTTCTGTTGTAACAAGAATTTGCGCCGATTTTCGATGACTTGCATTGCAAAATCGCGTGCAATCGCCATATTTTCGTCATGAAGTCGTTTCTCGCGCACAGCAAATGTTGAGAATAGAATATCGAACCGTTTCCAATAGCTGCTGATACGTTTGACGCACAAACGCGTTAATCTGCAAATGTATGTAGAAAAAAGTGTTATCAAATTTACACGCAAAACTACAATTTTAAAAAGACAATCACTTATTCGATAAACTAAAAAGCATTTCTATCTACAATCTAATGAAGAATAATAAAATTCGATTCACCATCACATACGTATTATTAGCTTGAATGTATGCACTATTGTGTGTGACTTGATCGTTGGACTGTAAACCCATTGACGTCTCCATGAGTATATCACCGGCGAGCCGTTCTATCGAATGATTGATATCAATCAATTGGCCATCGCATCGATCTTTCATCAATCCAACGAATATCTGTGACTTTTTATCGAATATGTCAACAAATCCTTTGAACATATTCATGGCGGTGAACGCTGGCTGTATGATTTTCCGTTGACCACGCCATTTATTCACCGGACTGCAAATCAAACCGTTGCCAGCCACTGCCCGAAGAATTGAATAATGGGTCGCTTTCTCCAAGTAGCTCGTTGAATTACCCAAAATTTTCTCGCACACCTTCGGGTCCATCGTAGCCACAATATATTTTGCAAGCCCTTTCAATTGAAACGTTTCTCCGTATTTTTCGAATGCTTCCACTTCACGACGCTTCATTTCTGAATGGAAAACGGGAAAGAAGTTCATGTAAATCAATAAAAAAATCTTTTTATAAATTATCAACTCAATTTGAATAGTATTTTTAATTCAAATGAGCTTCTGAGCATCTTAAAAAATTCAAATTTCAAACCTTCCATATCCGTAGTGAAGAAATTGAAAATATTCCCGACAATTGGACTGGGCTTAGGGCCTGGGAAACTCTGAAAGGGAATCGCCTTTCCTTTTTTTTCCTTCGGAATCCAATACTTCACCAACCACAAATATATCGCAAAGACCACCACGTAGAAGAAGATCATTTTCACTAACTCTCTGTAAGACTTTTACTTTCTTCAATTCTTTCAACTCTGTAATGAATTCATCTGCCGACTTGCTCCTTTTTATATACATTTTATCGGAACACATTCATAAAATGTTTTTTATCTGGTCGTATACTACTATCATCATAGTGAGGCTGCAATGCGTAGCTTCTCAGGAAAAGAGATTAAATTTAAAAACATCATAAACATTTTATGAACCGAATTCTTTTGCGTATGTTCACTCAAAGCAGACGTACTCGCTGTAAGGAGACAGTTGAATGTTGTGCTTGATAAGTACCCAGACACTAATGACGCGAAGGCGTAATTTTGTTATTGGAATCATTGTGTTATGTGCGACCACACAATATGGCCCATTATTTACCTAAGTCAAAATGCTTACCAAATTCTGTGTTTATCGTAATTTCTGGAAAATGGATATAACTGAAATGATTTTTTGAAATAGCAGCTAGAACTGTACTTCAGTTACTTGGGAAAAAATCAAACACCCTGAAAATGTTTATATACTCAATACAACCTCCCCTCCCCTCGAGAACAAAATCGAGATTTACAGCTTTATAGCAAATCAGATTTATTTATTTATCTACGCAAAAATCACGATTTCAAACCGTGCGCACGTTTCGCTGTGAGTATATGTGGTGGCTTATTTATTATTGCTGTAGCAGGCACCTAAACATGTGTATTCAGTGAATAAATAAATCTGATTTGTTATAAAGCTGTTAAAATAAATATAAAACTTTACCATGTGCGGTAATTGCGTAAGTTGTTCTACAAAACAAATCATAATTATTTTTCGGCTACTGACGCAAGAGAGACTCATATCATAGCGTCACTTATACGATAACAATATTTGTGCAAGAAATTTTCCCACAAGAAAATATGTCTAATTTTAGATATGAAACAAACAGTTGATATTTGTTCAAATACGTAGGAATGTGAACAAAACACGTGCGAGGACCGTTTTCATGCTGAACATGGCAAAGTAGTTTGATCAATAATCGACTATATTGGAGTCATTTTTGTGGCGTCTTCACTCGCATTTAACGTCCATTGTAGAAGCTTACTGGTCAAAGTTCAAACATCAATGCAAACATATGGACGTGGAGGAAATGACACCAAGCTGCACGAGGTTATTTCTTGCCAAATGTTTACGCCAGTAAACAAAATTGAAATAGCAAAACATAACATATTGTTATTTAACACTATGACTGTTCTTCGTATTTGCAACATCCCAATGAACCATTTACGTGCTTAAATGTGCCTATACATGGTATACAAATTATGCCTAATTTTTACACGTTTTAAAACAAATAAAAAAATATATAGTTAGCTTTTTGTTAAATTGTGTAAAATTTAACTAAAATTTTGACATAAAATGTGCATAATCTAGCATGCACGCAGTATGCACATATATTGCACACAGTTTGGACATATGTTCAAATATAAGCACAATTTTGACACATAATTTGAAATTCTCCTCTATTTAAACAAAGACGATTTACGCACACCTTATGCACGTAAATTACACACTATTTTTACATAATCTACCTATATGCAATCTTTCAAATCTATGCATAATCAGTGTGACGCTCTAGTACATATTTTCTTTCACTTGGCTCATTGGGATATTACTGTTCTTGGGGGACTCCAGGGCCCCCAAGATATTTCATATGAAATCTGGACTGTGATAAGAGATAACAAATTAGTGTCTGAAGCAAAGTTGTAATACTCAAAGTTTGCTATAATTTTGGTGCAACAAATATTGCTTATCTTTTATCAGTTCCGCGAAAAACGCGAAAAAACGCGAAAATCGCAAAATTTCCCGACATTGTTTTAGTGAAGCTGATAAGAAGTAAGAGACTTGCCTCTTCGACAGAAATGTAGAGCAGGTGGAATACTACAACTTTGCCACAGACACCAAGTCGTTATCTCTTATCAGTTATGCGAAAAAATGATAAGGAAAAATTCGCGGTTTTCGCGGTTTCCGCGTAACTGATAAGAGATAACGACTTGATGTCTATGGCGAAGTTGTAGTACTCAAGCTGCTCTACAACTTTGCCGAAAACCATCTTGTTATCTACTATCAGTTTCGCGGAATACGCGAGAAACCGCTGAAAACCGCGAAAAAAACGCGTTTTTTCTTATCATTTTTCACGGAACTGATAAGAGATAACGAGATGGTGTCTATGGCAAAGTTGTAGCTCTGGTCGAGTACTATGATTTGCCACAGACCCCAAGTCGTTATCTCGTATCAGTTACGCGAAAAAATGATAAGAAAACATTCGCGTTTTTCACGGTTTTCTGCGGTTTCTCGCATATTCCGCGAAACTGATAGGAGATAACGAGATGGTGTCTATACCAAAGTTGTAAAGCAGCTTAAGTGCTACAACTTCGCTACAGACCCCAAGTCGTTATCTCTTATCAGTTACGTGAAAACCGTGAAAAACGCGAATTTTTTCTTATCATTTTTTCGGGTAACTGATAAGAGATAACGACTTGGTGTCTGTAGTGAAGTTGTAGTACTTGACCAGAACTACAACTTTGCCATAGATACTATTTCGCTATCTCTTATCAGTTTTGCGGAATACGCGAAAAACCGCAGAAAACCGTGAAAAACGCGATTTTTTTCTTATCATTTTTTCGCGTAACTGATAAGAGATAACGACTTAGTGTCGTAGTAAAGTTGTAGTACTCGACCAGAGCTACAACTTTGCCATAGACACCATCTCATTATCTCTTATCAGTTCCTTGAAAAGTGAGAAACTATGAATTCGCGTTTTTCACGTTTTCGCGGCTTTTCGCGTAACTGATAAGAGATAACGACTTGATGTCTACGGCGAAGTTGTAGAGCAGCTTGAGTACTACAACTTCGTCATAGACACCAAGTCGATATCTCTTATCATAGTCCAGCTATAATATAAAATAGCCATGGGGCCCTGTGGTCCCCCAAGAACAACAGCGTAACATGTTTTGCGGCAGGCTGTATTTTACACATACTCACACATATGCATATGTTTTTTTTTTCATTCGTGTAGAGAAATGTTCAATCTATACAATGAGACTTAACTCCGGTTGGTTTATACACTGTTTAGTACTTTTATTCAACTTTAAAGTTCGCTGGGGGCCCTGGGTGCCCCAAGAACAATCATAGTGTTAAATAAGCTTCGAATTTATAAAACATAAAATAGCAAAAACATCGAACATTGTTAGTCAAATCACCTCCTCAATTGCAAACAAAAAATTCATTTCCGTATATGTATTCATATTATTTCCGTATATCTTTTGGTATATAAACTCAAAGTACAAAGTCAATAAAGTTAGTAATGAAACACACTCGAAACCCAACGAATGTCTTTTGTTATTCCTCAAAATCTATCTTTTTAAAAGGTTCCAATTTGGAAACTTTTCATCAACACAATCTCTTTTTATATAAAAATATGAAAGTGTTATATTTTCAAAGAAAGCTAGGAAGTGAGAATTGACATTCAATTTGGATTATGACGTCTTTTAAATTTCTCTTCACATTCATTATCATTCTGAAAACAGGTGCATGATTTCCGCAATTGTGGATAGAAATTTACTATATTTTTATCTGAATTTGATACCCTTGATACTGCTTTTTAATAGATCAAAAAATCTGGGGTGAACGCTATTCTTCTTTTTTGCGTACACCTTACAGCGTACAGTGTGTCATGCACAAACCCTACGACCATAAAATTATGCTGGATTTCGCGATTTTCAGAGCTCGAAAAAAAACTGATTTTAAGGGGGACAAAAAATCGTGGCGATCCTAATACTTTTCTTACTCGACTTTCCATGGTCGTGTGGAAAAGTAAAAAATCACGTAATACATTCTATTTGTATTGTGTGCAGTTTAATGTTTGTATTCTCTTTTTAACAAAATTTTCCGTAATCTATGTAATAAAAATGAAGCCGGCTTGCGTTCTGCTTGTGCTAAAGAAGCAATGGGTTTTTATTCATTTTTGTTATAAAGCAACCAAAAGATCGATTGATAAATATAACGCATTTCAGTTTAAAAGCACGACAAGACTGTGAGATACATGATAAAATTTAAGGAGAAATTTTTTTATTTTGAATCAGGTCGAAATTTATTGAAAAAACATTTGACGTTCATATGATGAGTAATTTTTCTGCTTGATAGAAAGTTCTCATTTTTTCTTTTTTTACATCTATTCGGAAGATGAATAAAAGTGAGAAAATTGTTTTAATGATAACACAAATGTTCTGGATTACAATCAATGCAATTTTCGATGTTTGTAAATTGGTAGCTTATTTAAAGATGGAAGATATTAAAATGCCGATAATAACAACTATTAAAAGAAACATGGCTTTGTAGCTTAAATGGGTTCCATTGCTTTTTTGTAACTGATTCACTAAAATCGTTTTCGACGAACAATCAAAGTTGACGGATTTCGAACAATTTGTACTTTTTTTGTGTAAATTCAACCAGCCTCTGATCAAACGTTTTCCACAAACGTCACATTGTTCCACGGGAACAACACCACTCTCTACGAAAATGCCGATTTGAATTTCGCTGTGTTCCCCAAATGATGCACAAATCGTTGATCATCGATAATGTCTTTGGCACCACAAATTCGGCAATTGTACAGCTTCATAATGAAATCACTCAAGTTTGGTTCGATTTGTTGACATTGGTTGCCATTGGGCAGTGAACTGGCGGATCCATTTTGATGTGTTGAAACAATTTTGCACCCGTTCCATTCGATCCTTTCGTGACCTAGGAGCTGTAAAAAATTTAGAATATTTTCTAAATGACGCTATTTGGGCTAAATAATTTTTGTTGTTACAATTTTAATAAAATGACTTCTTCCAATCATACCTTCTCCAATCCTGTAGCAGATATACGACTGTTGTTCCCCTCCGGAATGTTGTTGTTCTTCGTTGAACCGAGATCTTCTGTCGGAAATTTTGTTTTTTCGCAGGACGTGTAACGCAAAAAAGTGTATCGTTCGACGTCTCCATTTTTTGTCGCCCTTACCGGTGTCGACGGATGGAATTGTTCGATGTGCTCCTTCAATTCTTTTCCACTGACATTTTCCTCACAAACTGAACATTCACCATCCAGCCTAATGGCGACAAATCGGAAAATATCGGTTGTCTTTGGAATATTTGTGTGCCACTTTGAATGATGTTCCTCTAGACAATATTCGGTGATGCTACTACAGCCGCAAATCGTACAAATGTACATTTTTGTGTTCGGGTTTTCCAGTTCTTGATCGGCGGTTGCCTTTTGTTTAGCTTTATAAACATGCTTGAGGTAGTAACGCTTCTCGTGATATTTGGCTACCTTAATTTGGTCAACCAAAAACTGCTCTTTACATCTACCGCACACATTCCGAGCTACAAAATCAGCACTTTGATTTGATGATTTGCACTGCTTGAAAATGCTGTCTTTGACGTATTTTCCACCGCAAAAATCGCATTCGCACCGCTTGAGGTAAATGATTTCTTCGATAATTTCAGTACTCGGACACACTATGACTTTGGACATTTTTTCCATATGACATTGTTTCACATGTCTCTCAAGTCGACCATCACCAAAATGAAACTTACAAAACGGGCATTGTATGCGTGCTTCAATTTCAAAGCTAGCAAATAATGTGTCTTCAATCGGAATATCACTGTGTTTATTCGCGTAGTGACTTCTCAACGAGTCTTTTGACACATCTTGTGTTCCGCAAACAGTGCATTTGTATCGCTTTACTTCCACCCATTTGGTTGGCAAATTCGGATTATGAAGAACATTTTTATGGACATCGAAATGTTGTGCTGACATCGTTTTGTTACAGGTTAGACAAAGAATAGAATCTTTAGATTGTACGTATGAATTCACAGTGAGAGACAGCGTGCTATGCTCATCTGAATGTTGTTCCAAATCACAGCCGTCCACTTTATCGCCACAATCATAACACGTGTAGCTATGATTTTTTATCACTTTATACTTTGCGACATCACGATTCGGCTTCCTTATCTGTATGGGCCTTGTAGGTGGTTCAGACATAGTTTGTTTATTGACATCGCTATTTCTTATCTCAGAATAATCCGCATTGCTTTTTAGCATTTCTTCTACAGCCGTTGTCGCGGCTGCCTCCGCCGCTGTCGCTGAAACCGCCTGGCTGAAACCGTCGATGTGTACAACTTTCTTCATTATTGTTGGTTTGAAAATATTTTGATCAATTGGAATGTTTCTATGTCGCTTCAAATGATGTTTATTTGTATCTTTTTCCGTGGCGAATACACCGTTATACTCAGTATAATTGAGTACTGCTATCTCGGCGATACAATCTTGTTGGGTGAGTTTGAAAATGTTTTGTTTGAAGGGAATCTCACTGTGCCGCCTCTTGTGATGATTTTTTGTGTCTCTTTCGTTGATGTTGTTGGCATTGCACACGACACACTGAAAAATCTATATTCGGACTTTTTGTGGTTTGACGTTTGCTTGCCGAGTGGCACTTTTGCCGCCAATATCATCCATTCTAATATTTTGGTTTACACAAACTAGCTCAGTTCAGAAGATAACTCTCGGAATGTTATTAAAAAAATGTTTTCAGTTTTTGCTTGGATTAAAAATTGTGTATGTTATGAATCGAAAGCGTGTTCTTAGGCTCCAAACCATTCGAAAATACAAACACTATATTTGTTGCTGTACATTGAAAAGTCAACAGAGCGCTGATTTACATACAAGAGAGCCGGTTGTTCCACTGCAACCACTGTACTGTATACATGTTCAACGGATTTTGACATTTCCATTATAGGAACCGTAGTTCCAGTGCTGTTGTAATGATTTTTATTATTCCACTTGGAATGATGTTGGAAGCGGACTTGGAAACAACATTTAAATTTGCTTGCATTTGTATGGTTTTTTTTTGTACTCGGTAAGGTTCGTTGTATTTTTGAAAATAAAATAATCAGTTGGTATTGAGTGTGATTATGAATGTTGTTTAAAATTTGAAAAAAAAAATGTCGATACTCTTTGTGAATTGTGAAATGTTACAAAGAAGTGTTCCTATTAAGAAAAATTTTTTCGGAAAAAATATCGAGTTTCGTAGTCAACTCACTTGAAGTAAATCATCTATTCTTCTATATAAAAAGAAACATTTACCAAGAAAATAACTAGGTTTATTGGTAGCAATTATTTTTGTGTAGAGAAATCGATTTAGACCTATCTCAATCCTGTCTGATGGGTCTAAAAGGTCGAAAGATGGCTATATTCCAGCTTATGTTTTCATATTCTGGATTCCATCGTAAGGAACTTTTATTCTTTAGCGAAACGAACAAAAATAAACAAATTTCTCTACCATTTTGGCCTCAATTCAGCGATACGAATACATGTCTCGCTCGCTTCTTCTTTCAACTCTTTTCGTTCTATGTATTTGTATGTATATCAGTTGTGTTGTCGTTCGTGCTATATTCATGCATTACACTGAACACAACGCGTGAAAAATATCGGATATTTTTATGCGATATTTCTATCCCATTTGAATAGAAATATCCCATAGTATTCTCTGGTTTGATGTTTGAACAAGGTTACCGGCTTCGTTTTATATACATGTATTTGTTAATGTATATGTCGCTGAATTACTCGCAGTCTCAAAGAAGACTTAGATGATTTTTTGGAATGAGCATCAATGTTATATGTACTCTCACAATTCGAATTAGGCAAACCGTCAGAAGTAGTACGGCAAAATAACAAATTGCCGAAGTAATTTTTTCATTGGAGGTAAAATGTTGAATTACCACCAATGATTTTATTCGGTGTGCGGAAACACGATTGTGCATGAAACATTCAGTGTGATGACAACCGATTGTCAAAAACTGTAAACAAAATCAGAAATCGTTGCAAATCGTATCGTGTAATAGCCGAAGAAGGCTAAACAACAAATTCAATTAACCTTTTTTCGTGTTGCAAAGATGATTCGAGATGATTGTTTTAAAGAATTCAATGTTTTGTGCCATTTGGAATTTAGATTCAATTCACTGTTCACTGCTGCAATACACTTGATTAAAATTTGAAAAAAAAAAACAATCAAAAAGATTTATTTCTCACTAATTATTCGTGTTTGGTGTGTTTAATCACACTTCAAATGCCCTGTTAGCGGTTTTTTTCCACTGAATTCAAATTTACCTACCGAATAAAAACATTGGTGGTAATTCAACATTTTACCTCCAATGAAAAAATTACTTCGGCAATTTGTTATTTTGCCGTACTACTTCTGACGGTTTGCCTACTTCGAATTGTGAGAGTAGTACACGCCGACTATCCGCAATACGATTATTCGCAAATTTCTTGTCGGGATACGCTGGCATTGGTACAAATTGACTTATTATCTGAAAAAAAAGCACATAACCGAATGTCATACGAAACCATAGCCCTATTTGGTAACATTTTCCATAGAGATATAAGAAAAAGTTTCTTAACTATTTTGAAATTCCAATTAACGTATCAAGTTGATTGCAATGATTTTGGCATGATCTTGAAGAACTTGAATTTTAAATTATTATCGTAGAAGATGTAAAAATTTTCACATCCAAATAGCCACTTCACATAGTAACACACACTCAGCACTACAAGAGTGAAAACATTTGCTTGAATTTGCAATTCAATGTGATCTACATGCGTTATTTTTCAAACCATAGGGAAGGTGATGAAGGAATGAACGCAAACATCTGGTATTTTCGATGCGATATATTTGATATGAAACGAAAAATTACGCAGAATTCCACCAATTGACGTCAATTGTTCTAAAAAAAATCTTTAAAAAAATGTGTGCGATAATGTTTTGTGCATTCGAATTAGAACAAGGCATTATGTACCAAACAGCCAACTATTTGTAAATAGCTCAGCTCAATATGCAGCCATACGGAATGTCTGCAATAATTTTTTCTTCAGAGAATGCGTCAATTTGTAGCAATGCCAGTGTATCCACCATAATGAGTGATGTAAAGCAAATATGATTACGTATATCCTTCCGTAGGTATCGAGCAAAACAACGCAACCATGGTACATGAGCCCAAATGTAATTTTAAGGTATATAGTAGTTTGGAGCGAAAATGTCATACAGAAATGTTGCACGGAAAAATGTCAAAAATAGAGAAATTATCAAATAGAGAAGTTTCTTCTTGTCATTCATATTCATATTTTCCGTAAAAAAACAACGATCCATCTGTGGTTGTTTTTTAACTTTGGGACGACTTTGAAGCGGAATGTGTTTTGTGCATACCGCGAAGATGAAAAATTTTCATATTCAAATATCCACGTCAAATAAACACCACTCAACGTTTAATTTCAATATAGACCAGTTTTCCACGCGAAATTGCAAATTTGGTTCAAAATCATTTGAATTTGAATACCAATACCAAGTTAAATTTCTTTTACAAATGAGGCTGTGAGAATGAAAATGGCAATACAGGAATAAATATTCTGAAGATCATCAAGAAAAAAAAATTCGCAAAAGTGAATTATGAACCTCCTATGCTGCCCATGTAAATTCATGTTTCACTTTTGCATATTCAGAACTCATGATTCATTTTTGCGAATTTTTTTTCTTGATGCGTTTCAGAATGTTTATTCCTGTATTGCCATTTTCATTCTAACAGCCTCAAATGAGTTATATCACGATTCCAAAAGCTGATCCTTAAAATGATGGATACGATCCCAAAAAAGCAAAACAAAAAGAATTACATTCGTAATCCCGAACTTTTCCGTACCGTTGTCCGTCCTTTTGGTTTGTTCTGTGAATTTTCTTGAAATAAAAGCATCGAAAAATCGGCCAATTATAGTCAAAATTTCGACAATTTTTCATGGAAGGTACCCATAAATCGACTCCGATTGGCTCAAAACTTTCAGAATCTTATTTTCCTCCCAAAAAATGAAACTCCAGAAAGTTGGAATTTCCAACTTGGAAAACATTCGGGGTCGATTTACGGGTACCTCCCATACAAAATTGTCATTTTTCGAGTTTTTTCTTTGGGCAAGTACCCCAGGATAAAATCGAAAATGGCTCATCTTCGAACTTAAACTAAGTTTTTCGGATACAAAACTTTTGGCGTTTCCAGATTTGGATTATCTCAATTATTTTTCGAGTTATCGTGTTAACAAACACCAACGACGACGACGACAACGACGACGGCACACGAACGGAAAAGTGTCTCAAAAAGTGGTGTTCTACGCGTTTCATGAGTTTTTATGATGATCTAAGCTAATTTTGCGAAAAAGGTTTTCGGGACCAATTCCTTTACTTTCCCTTGACACGGTGTGTACGGAAAAGTAAAAAAGGTTACAAAGTTGAAATGTGAAATACTTTTAAATGGGAATAAGGTCCAAACATTGTTTTTGAGATAAAATGTTGAATGATCGCAATCAAATGTACGAACCGAAAAAGTCGTGATGCAACGATGCGTCAGAAACATTTTTCTTCACTTGAATATAAATGCAATTGACTTTTTGTTCGAATTGATTTTTAAATATTATCCCACGCCCAGCAGATGTAGTCGATTCGTGAGTTGCCGAAGCATCATATATACAGTGCATTCGATATTTAACGTGAAAACCTATATTCGGTACATCGAAAATGGCCGAGGTATGATTTCGTTTGCGCGTCGCGCGTAAGCAATTCACTTGAGATATATAGTACATAGGGATTCACGTTATATCGTAAGTGAATTGCTTACGCGACGCGCAAACGAAATCATAATAAGCCAAAGCAAGTGAAATGCTAAATCCACGAGTGTGCCGACAAGTCCGCTGCTTCATTGAGTAAAACCACCGTATGGCGGCAGAGTTTGGAATTTGTCTCTAATCCAATCAACATTCTGGTAATACGTTATTTTACTCAGGATTTCGATCATATTGGTAACGGTCAATGTTGCGATAATAGTGTTGATTGCGAGTATAATCCAATAATGCGTTGAAATACGATTGCAATATTTTCAAATTTTAAGTTTATCAGTCGATCGGTACATTTTACGATAAAAATACGAACGATTTTTGCATCGATGACAAACTGAAATATGACTTTGTACGATCACAAAATTATTCCAACTCATTTGAATATATTAAATTGAGAATTTCGAAGAAATATCCCTGCTTGAATATTCAAATTGGATATTTTTTCAGGCAACGACAACTGTTTTTCGCTCAAGACACTTACACCTATAGGTATATAGATATGATTTTGTAGAATGTATAATACTAAATAAAGGGTGTTTCAACAAGCACGCAACAAGTTTTTGTTAACCCTGAACTGCATGAATTTTTCCCAGAGTTGGGCAAAAAAATGGTTTATTTTGATGAATAATTAACGAAAAAAAATATTGGTTTTTCCGAAAAATGAAGAAAAATGTGAAAATTTGGTGGAAAACTGTTGCCCGCCAAAAGGCGGTTTCATACAGGAAAGACATAAATCGAAATTTTGTTTCTAATTTTTCAATGAAAATATCAAACTTGATTTAGAAAATGAATGAAAAAAGAACAAAAACTGAATGGAAACGATCGAAATCATTCAAGATTGCATTGATTGGGTATGAAAATCGTGGAAGGATGATGAGGTTGAGGTTTATTTAACATTGTGTACATCACCTTGTGTTTCAGAAATTGCATGTATTTTTGCCGTCCCAATCTAAAAAAAGACACCAATGGCCCATTGCCCCAAATTGTCAAACCGAACTTTACCTTTTAGTAGGTTCGTTTTCTTCTGAGGTTTTCGCGAAATTGGCTCCAGCCTGGACACTTC